CTCCTCCTCCTCCTCCTCCTCCTCCTCCCTCCTCCTCCTCCTCATCCTCCTCCTCCTCCTCCTCCTCCTTCTCCTTCTCCTTCTCCTTCTCCTCCTCATTAGTTTCCGCCTCCTCCTCCTCCTCCTCCTCCTTCTAATTGTTTTGTCATTCATCTCCTTTTCCTCATTCCGCATTCATCATTCCTCTCCCCCCTTCTCTCTGGGCCGTTGCCTTCTCTGTCTTCTCCTCCTCATGCTCTTCCTCCTCCTCCTCCTCCTCCTCCTACCTCCTCTTCCTCCTCCTCCTCCTCCTCCTCCTCCCTCCTCCTCCTCCCCCTCCTCCTCCTTCCCTTCCTCCGTCCCCTCCGCCTTCCCATCCTCCTCCTCCTCTCCCTCCTCCTCCTCCTCACCTCCTCCTCCTCCTCCCCGCCTCCTCCTCCTCCTCCCCTGCTCCTCCGCCTCCTCCCCTCCCCTTCCTCCTCTTCCGCCTCCTCCTTCTCCTCCTCCTCCTCCTCTTCCTTCTCCTCTTCCTCCTCCTCCTCCTTCTCCTCCTCCTCCTCCTCCTCCCTCCTCCTCCTCCTCCTCCTCCTCATCCTCCTCCTCCTTCTCCTTCTCCTTCTCCTTCTCCTTCTCATTATTTTCCTCCTCCTCCTTCTCATGTTTTTTATCATTCCTCTTCTTTTCCGCATTCCTCATTCCTCATTCCTCTCCACCCCTTCTCTCTGGACCCTCTCCTTCTCTTTCTTATCCTCCTCCTCCTCCTACTCCTTCCTCCTCCTCCTCCTCCTCCTCCTCCTCCTCCTCCTCCTCTCCTCCTCCTCCTACCTTCTCTTCCTCCTCCTCCTCCTCCTCCTCCTCCTCCTCCTCCTCCTCCTCCTCCTCCTCCTCCTCCTCCTCCCCTGCTCCTCCTCCTCCTTCCCCTCCTCCTCCTCCTCCTGACTATTTTCCTCACTCCTCTCCCCCGCTCCCGACGATCTGACCGTTTCAGATTCAGTACGTGGGGGCAGCTGCTCGCGCGATACCCTGGTCTTTCAGCGCCCCCCGTGGCCCGAACACGGGCCCCTGGATGGAAGAGCGCCAAGGGTTCGGAACAGCTCGGACCGTCGGAGCTGCGGGAACCCCCTTCTCTCTGGACCTTTTCCTTCTCGTTCTTCTCCTCCTCCTCCTCCTCCTCCTCGTTTTCCTCCTCCTCCTCCTCTCCTCCACATCCTCTCCTCCTCCTCCTCCCTCCTCCTCCTCCTGCCTCCTCCTGCCTCCTGCCTCCTACCTCCTCCTCCTCATCCTCCTCCTCCTCCGCCTCCTCCTCCTCCTTCTCCTTCTCCTCCTCCTCGTCGCCCTTCTCCTCCTCCGCCTCCTCCTCATCTTCCTCTTCCTCCTCCGTCCTTTCTCCGTATGCGTAACTTCTCCCTGTGGCACCCCAAGGCCAGTTTTTAGGGCGGGCCGGGCGTGTCGCCTGAGACCTCACACTATTTATGACCCTGAAGCTTCAAAAGTGGCAACAGCTTCACATATTGAGGGCGGGTCAGTTTCAAAACATAGCTCTCAACTTAGCGCCGCGCATGTTCTTTTTATACTTTGCAAGAACTTCACGGATTGAGGGAGGCCGTTTTCAACATGCGGTTCTCGCTCTAGCGCCATGCACATTCTTTTTTTAATTTGCAAAGAGATTCACGGATTGGGGGCGGTTCCTTTTCAACATATGGTTCTCGAATCAGCGCCGCGCTTACGGTGTTGAAGTCCCAGGAATGGTGTCTGGCACGATTTAGGATCGTCAAGACGCAACCGTCAGGTTGATCCATGGCGTTGGAATCGTGAGAACAATGTTTTGGCATGCTTCAGCGCCTTCAAACAGTGTCTTCCAACAAGACAGTTCTCTCAGTGGAAATGAAGAGGGAGCTTGAAGGGAGGGCTTTTCCAGCAACGTTGATGATTCTTGGGTTTACATTGGTCCTCCTGCCCCTCCTCCCTCCTTCGTCCTGCCTCCTGCCTCCTCCCTCCTGCCTCCTCCCTCCTCCCTTCTCCCTCCTCCCTCCTCCTTTTCCTTCTCCTCCTCCTCCTCCTCCTGCTCCTCCTTCTCCTCCTCCTCTTCCTCGTTCTCATCATCCTCCTCCTCTCTGAACCTCCTCCTCCTCCTCCTTTTCCTCCTCCTCCTCCTCCTCCTCCTCCTCCTCCTCCTCCTCCTCCTCCTCCTCCTCCTCCTCCTCCTCCTCCTCTCTGGACCTCCTCCTCCTCATCTCTGGACCTCCTCCTAATTTCTCCTCCTCCTCCTTTTCCTCCCCCTCCTCCTCTCTAGCCACTCCGTCCCCTCTCCGAGAAAAAGGCGGGGGGAGAGGGGTCTGTCTACGGGAAGGCCCGACCTTTCCCCAGGGCCGGCCGTTCATGCCGAGCTGTTTTTGTGGACGGATTTGGGGTCCGACGAGGGCTTTTGGAAGCCGAAAACCCGGGGGGGCATGCAAGGGGAGAGCGACCATCGCGTCGTGATGTTTTCATTACGCGAGTTGAGAGCACGTTACGCATAAAGCAACATCAACGAATTCATACTGAATCGCTTGGCCATGATTATGCGGCTATGGTCTCCGCCTCGAGGACAGCTATGATGCGGATCCCATCCCGAACTGCACTTAATAGGATCATGCGTGTGAAGGCTTATGATGGTCCTTCTTCCCAAAACGAGAATTTTCTGGTGGTCTCGAAATTGGGGCGACGTGCCTATGATGGCCCCACTTTGCCCACTCCGTTCCGCTCACGGGGACTTCGCATCCCCCTACGACGGTGGGATGGGTGAGCGGTCCGCCTACCCCCCCGTTGCACGTGTGACGCGAGGTTCATGGGGGCGTCATCCCTGGGCGAGAGTTGGGAGGACCGAAATGGGTACGGGAAGAACTAGTGGGAAATAATTAGTGGACACTCCCCCGCTCCCCCAAACTCAAAATTGACACGCGCGGGGAAGACTGCGGTCGAAGTGCATTTCAACCCACCGCCAACATTGATCAGTGGCGGGGCATTGACATGAGTGTTCGTAAATTGCGTCCTAGGCATGTTCTAAACAGGACTCACTGTTGGTGTCGCCGCGGACAATGTCCATTTGAGGCACCAGTCCCACGGCGGCCGCTGTGGGTGTTGGACAACATTTGTTGCTGGGCATCGTACCAATGTTTTTCGTACCCATTTCGGTGGTGCTCAGCGAGGGGGGGAGGGAACATGGAACATGGATTGGCCTGGGTCCTAAGACCCAGGTCTGGAAAAGGAGGCGGTGAAATACAGTCAGGGAAGCGGAGACGGGGTAACAGCACACGGGGTAACAGGAAACAGCCGGTTCCAGGCAACAAACGCGCAGCTTGTTGCAGTGCAGATGTTGTTCGGTTTCCGCGTTCACGGCAGCACCTACCACATGCTGTCTGCGTCGGAAATTGGTCGGTTGCTGCATTGCACTTTTGGGGGGACCCTCTGTGAATGGGACTTGTTTGCAGTTTTTGTCGAAACTAGTCAAAGAAACATTCACTGCCGTTTGTTCGCGTTGCTGAACACTTGCCGTGCAATGTTTCGTTCCGGCCGTTGCAGTCTCTCCGTCTGGATCTCATGGTTTGGAGACCCGAAACGGTGCGGTGGCAGACCGTGCGGTGACCTCGAAATCCCCCTAAGACCTCACCGCACGGTCCGTCAACGCACGGTTTTGGGACCTCGGATGCCCCAGTCGCCCGAGACGTCCTCGGACAACGACCCGAGTCCCAAAACCGTGCGGTGACCCCGAATCCCCACCGACTCAGCACACGGTGTGGTCACCACCCCGTTTGGGGGCCCCCGTCATGGTGGGTCCGTTACCCTGTTTAGGCGTTACCCGGCCTAGTCTTCCCTCACACAGGATGCGCTAGCCATGTGGAGCAAGCCTCCCGAGTCGCCCCATCAGGCGGGCACGCGTACGGCACAGCACCAGCTCAGCGGCAGTAGCAAACCGCGGAGCGCGAACGCATCCATGACAAGGAGACCCAGAGCAGAGGCAGGGGGGGAGGGCCGTGCAGGGCTAGGATTAAGTCGGTCACGTCCCTCTACAGGAGTCGTGTTCAAAAATAGTCCAAACAAATATGGGGACGATTTTGTTGGCTATTGTTGACCCCTTTGGGATATGTTCTGGCTATTATATATTTGTCGTCCAGAATCCGCCTGTAGGGGGACATGCCCGACCTAAGGCTAGGACGAGGATCAATCCGTTCCAGAGCAGTCCAGAACGCTATCAGAGCGTTCCCGCTTTCTCCGGGAAGGCCGCGGCGCCCGAGACATCCTTCAGAATTGCGGGATCTCAGAGATTCCCGATCTATCGTCACCTTGGGCGGGTGGTAATGGGGGGTGACCTAAATGAGGGGTGACCCTTTCAGGGCCCTTGTCCTCATCCCCTTTCTACACCCACCACGCTTGGAACGAGGTTCTTAGCGTAAAGTTCTAAACTCCCAGCAAGGGTGCAGGTCACCCCCCATTGCCACACGACCGATCGCCCGAACTCGATGGAGAAACGCCACGCACCCAGCTGGACAGAGGAGCGCCCGATCCCGGCCGCAGAGTTGGAACGAAAGACTCAACGGCATCAGCTACGACCGGGGGGCCTGGAGAGTCCACGACTGGATCCCTGACGGGCGGGGAGCCCGCGCGCGCCCCCTGACAAGTTGGTCTGACCAATTCCCGCTGAGCGCGTACGGGCACGTAGCCGCGCGCGCAGTTCGCTCTCAGCGCCCCTTCCCTGCCTCCCCTTCCGATCACCCGAACTTGTCTTCGTCCTGGCTTCGTTCTCAAGGCCCCCCTCGGCTTCGGCGGGGGAGGGGCCTGGAGCAGCCTGGCCCCGCCCGGAGGAAGTGCGCGGCCTGGCCCCGCTCGGAGGAGTGGGGAGGAGGAGGAGGAGGAGGAGGAGGAGGAGGAGGAGGAGGAGGAGGCGGAGGAGGCGGAGAAGGAGGAGGAGGAGGAGGAGGAGGAGGAGGAGGAGAGGAGGAGGAGGAGGAGGAGGAGAAGGAGGAGGAGAGCACCCCTCCCAGGGCCCCCTCGGCTTCGGCGGGGGCCCCCTCGGCGCGGCGGCGGCCCCGCTCCTCGGCGGCGCCCCCGGCGCGGCCGGGCGCGGGCGCCTCGTCGACGTGAAGCCCGGCGAGCTGAGGGGCGCAGGCGCCCTCGGGGGACCTGGCGGCTCGCCAAGCAGTGGCGGAGCGTCTTGGCTTGCCTACATCTAGGCCTCCCAGGTGTCACGCCGCATCGCCGGTGCGTCGACGATGCGGCTCGATGTGAAGCCCGTGTTTCCCCACGCCGACGGCGCCGATGTCTCACCGATGCGGCGCGGTGCTCCGACCCCATCTGCTCGGACCCCATGAGGCCCCTCCGTCAAGCAGTGGCGAAGCGTCTCGGCTTGCCTATAATATAGGCCCACCAGAGAACGTGCTATCATAACTGTCTGTGATTTGCACGAACTGTTCTTAGGACATGTCTGGCTGAGACTGTCTTGGATTAGCGCACCGGGCCGATGTTCTAAGAACACTATTTTGTGTTGTTTGAACAGTTTGGGGGTTTTGAGAACATGTCATGGTAGGTTTATATTACGCCGTTACAGAAGTGCGTCACGCTTTATGGCGGGCTAAGGTGATGCAGGCGTCGTCCGTTACTTCCGCGCGAGCGGGCGGGCGAAGGCTGACTCTTGTCCCGGCCGCGCCAAGCTGCCCCCGCTTTCCCCGCTAGAACCCTAGCGGGCTGGGTCAAGAGAGGTCGGATCAAGGATCCTGGGTTTTAAAATCTGGGATGTTCTCCCGGTAAATAATAGCATATAGCTTAAACTGGGTATTCTAACATCTGGACGTAAAAACCACGGTTTTAGAAATCCCACTTGGCGGGATCTTGCCCTGCCAACGCCAGATGATCAAACCTGCAATTCGTGACGAAACTTTTGCAGCGCCGATGAGGGATGCACGATGGCGACGCGTCATCATTCTTCGTTCCATGTCATCGCAAACACCCCCACGCATCATCCGCCATTGTTGCCATGGCCGTGGCCTCTGGCCCACTGGATGAACGAAGAAACTCCGCATGCTACGCCAGATAAGAAAGTCCTCGCATGCCACACCGGATGAACAGAGGCTTCGCCTGCTGCGCCAAACAAGGAAGGTTTCGCCTGCCACACTGAATTACCAGGCACTCGACGCTCGCCGCGCGGCGCCCGAAATACCGCTGAAGGGTCCACGATGGCGACGCATCATCATTCATCGTCCCATGTCATCGCGTTCGCCGCCGCGCATCATCCGCCATGGCCGCGGCCTCTGGCCCACCGGATAAACGAAGAGACTTCGCCTTATACGCCAGATCCGAAAGCCTTCGCATGCCACGCCAGATGAACAGAGGCTGCGCCAGACAGGGAAGGTTTCGCCTGCCACGATGGATTCCCAGGCACTCGACGCTCGCCGCGCGGCGCCTGAAATACCACAGGGATCACCGATGGCGACGCATCATCATTCATCGTCCCATGTCATCGCGTTCGCCTCCACGCATCATCCGCCATTGCCGCCATGGCCGCGGCGTCTGGCCCACCAGATAAACAAAGAGGCTTCGCCTGCTACGCCAGATAAGGAGGGCTTCGCATGCCACGACGGATTACCAGGCAGTCGACGCTCGCCTCGCGAGGCCTGAAATACCGCGAGGGATCTACGATGGTGATGCATCATCATTCACCGTTCCATGTCATCGCACGCGCCCCCCACGCATTATTTGCCATTGCCGCCATGGCCGCAGCCTCTGTCCCACCGGATAAACAAAGAGACTTCGCCTGCTACGACAGATGAGAAAGGCTGAGGCTTCGCCTGCTGCGCCAGACAAGGAAGGCTTCGCCTGCCACGCCGGATTACCAGGCACTCGCCGCTCGCCGCGCGGCGCTAGAAGTTCCGCTACGACGCCACAGAGGTTCGTAACGTATTTGCAGGTGCAGGTGTCGTCTGTCAATTCCTCGCGAGCGGGCGCGCGAAGGATGACTCCTGTCCCGACCGCGCCAAGATGCCCCGGTTTACCCCGTAAGAATCTTAGCGGGTTGGGTCAAGAGCGGTCGGATCAAGGATCCGGGATTCAGAAATCCGGGATATTTTCCCAGTATGTAATTATACATATGTATATAGTAGGTGGGGTTTTCTACAATTCCGGGCGTATAAACACACACACACACACACACACACACACTGTTTGGGAAATCCCATTTGGCGGCATCCTGCCCTGCCAACGAAAGATGTTTGGATATCAATTCACAAAACGACATTTTTGCAACGTCGATGTAGGAATGCCAGGACGGTCGGTCCCTGCTCAAGGAGGTTCGAGGAGGATTTCGGGGCCAACGATGGGGGGAATGGGCATAGGGGGGACGCATCGACCCCCATTCGCCAATTGATTGTCGAGAGGGGCCGGATAGGCCTTCCCTGCCCAGGGACGTGCGGCGTCGCTATCGGGGGCCTATCGCCGATTTATCGGCGATGCATCGCCGATTTCAGGTCGGCGTTTCCCCCCTATGTCAGTCCCCCCCCCCTAATCGTTGCCCCTCAGGATTGGGTGCCGAAGCGACGACGACGACGCCCTTGCGTCGAGGACTCTGAAAGTGTTTCTGCGGGTGGTTGCGACGATGGCTGGACGCAGTTCGACGCACCAGCCAGGATACACCACGGGCGGGATTGCGGATCCAGGGATCTGAAGCTACATCGAGATACACCTTAGGCGATGCTTAAGAAAACTTAAGTTTTCGGCCAGAGTCTCGATTATTCTTAACGTTTCAATGTAAAGCTTAAGATTTGAATAGAAATCTTGGGTTTTTATTCAAGTTCTGAGACTATGAATTTCTTAACCCATGATTTCTTAAGCATTTCGCAGGGTGTACATCCTCGGGGGTCCACGCGGATGTGTGGGATCGGCGCGGGGTCCCTCTGGAGGCAGGCGCGCTATACGCGCCAGGGAAGAGGGGGGGGACCCTGCGCCGACCCGGGAAGCCCGCGCGGACCTTCGAAACTCATGCGGAGGCATCGTGCAGATTACCGGCCACGCGCAGAAGGGGGTAGGTCAGGAGGGGAAGAAACACACAGACACAATTAATCGTCGATTCCCAGGAAATATGCGAAAATATGGGAAGTGGTGGGGAGGACAAAAACCCAGAAAATATTGGAAAATATGGGGAATATTTTTATTTGTGTGTATTTATTTGTGTGTCCCAGGGCCCCTTTAGTAGGGGGGAGGGGAAAAACCACACAGGCACAAACAGACGTCGATCTCCCGGAAGATAGGGGGAGTGGAGGGGGAAAGGACCATCCAGAAAGTGCGGGAAGGCATGGGGAGTCTCAGGATTTGTGTCGATTTCTATGTGTGTGTCCCTGGGCCCCTTGCAGATTTCCCATTGCAGTGCCGATCGGAGGCGTCAGGCTCGGCCCACGCCGAAGGTCACGATGCCGCCGGGGGGGACGGGGAAGGGGGAAGGTTTCTCAGAAGCACCCCTTTTTCTTAGAAGGCGCGGGCCTTGTCTGTAGATGTAAGGCGGGTGCCTTCCAAGAAGCAGCCTCCTTTTAAGAAGCCTTCCCCCCTCCGTCTACCCCCTTGTGCGCGCCGCCGAGATTGATCTTCCGCTGCCGATGAGGTTCGGGGTCCAAGGTCGAGGGTGTGCGGGGGCGTGTGTTGGCCCTGCCAGGGCCCCTCGGAAGGCTAGGGGGGGGGGGGGGCGAGCTGCAGGGCGCAGGCGCCTCTCGGAGCCGTGCGGATGTTCGAGGACCAGAACGACTTCGACGACGACGACGTCGACGACGACGACGACGACTGCTTGTGTCGTCGTCTAAACTCGGCCTGTAGGGGGACAGGCCCAGCTCCGCACTACTGTGCGGTCTGCCGGGCCTGGGATATAGGGCCTTGGTCTACCCAGGCTATACAGCTGACTCGGGCTAGCGCGTTCCCGGCGTTCGAGGATCGAGGCACGTGGAGGTTCGAGGATCGAGGCGACGACGACGACGACGACGCGGACGACGACGACGACGACGACGACGACGACGACGACGACGACGACGACGACGACGACGACGACGACGACGACGACTGCGAAAGGCTGGCCGCGAGCGGGCGCCCCGGGGGCGCCCGCGGCGCTGGGGTGGGGCGCCGGCGTCGCCCGAGGCGCGGAGCCGCAGCAGCCGAGCGGCTCCGCCTGGGCACCCAGGAATCCAGCAGCGGCGAAGCGTCCCGGTTCGCCGATAGCCCCACCAAACAATGTTCTAAAAACTTGTTTGTGGTTTCCACGAAATGTTCTTAGAACATTTCTGGCTGGGACTGTCGTGTTTTAGCACGTCGGGTTTATGTTCTAGGAACATTGTTCTTGTGATGCGAACATAATTGGGTTCTAAGAACATTTCGTTATACAGGAAAGTCATACAGCGCCGTTTTTAATACATGGCCAGCGTGCGGATAATGTCTGAAACATGCAGGGCTTTAGAGCTAAAAACAACGATGAGTTCGTGCGTCAATCTATTCGTAAGTTAATCATGTATTAAAACCATAAATTTTCCAAAAGAAAATATGTATTAAAAACTGCCCGAGTCGGCTCGGCGGTTTTCCAACAAGGTTTTCAGACAAGGTGTTCGGTAATTTTCCAACAAGGTTCTCTGTCGTTTTCGGACAATATTCTTGAACAAGGTTCTCGGTTCTAGATTGCAGGTTTTCGACCAAGGTTCTCGGCGGTTGTCCAGTCCCGGGATGCCTTCCTTCGGCTGCGCCTCGCCGATGTCGTTCCGGGGTTGCCCGGATCGTCCCGAACGGCCGCCGCAGGCCCGAGTTATTGCCCGAAAACAATTGAGGGACAGGCACCCAGTTGAGATACAGTCGGACCGAGGCATAGGATCGAGGGCGTTTCGGGGAAGGTACCCTCGTGTTCGTTCGTGCTTGTTTGATGCTCTTGTGCATCCTGGGGCGGTTACCCTTAGATGTTCTGTGCGTTTTGGCCAGCGGAGGGTCTCATGTTCTTGAGGGACGTTCTTCTGGCCTGGGCCCGACTGTAACGGCAGACAGAGAGCTGGACCGAGAGATGTCTAGAATCGAGTCGAGCACGTCCCTCTACAGGAGGCATATTCAAAACACAGCCAAACATAGCCTGGGGAGTATGCTTGCAAGTTTTCTCTGCGCACTCCTGAATATTCCTGATGTGTTTCTGCATCTTCCGTCCAAAGTCCGCCTCTCGGGGGTCACGCCCGACCGAAGCCTCGAGAGGCCACCTGGAGGGCCGCCGCTGTCTCCACCGGCCCTCCTCCGAGCGCCTTCGGGCCTCGAGCCTCGGTCCTTTCGTGGACCCGACGGTGCGGAAGAAAGCACCTGCACGATTCAGTCGGGCCTGTCCCTCCACAGGAGGACTGTTCAAAAATAGTCAAACAGATGCCTGGGGACGATTTTGCGATTTCTCCTGAGCATCTTTGAAAATTAGTTGACCATGTTTATTTGTCGTCCAATATCCCCCTGCAGGGAGACATGCCCGACCTGATGATAGGGAGGTTGGACGAGGCTGAGGGGGAAAGAAACAGCTGAAAACAGCTGCGATCATGGCGATGGCGGCGATGCTGGCGACACCACGGGACACCGACGGGACACCGACGGGGCACCGACGGGGCACCGACGGGACAACGTCTAAGAACTCCCGGGTCCATCCCAAAGCTCCGAAACTGTCCCGAACCTCCCGACGCCCAGACAACCTTCCTGAACATGTCCACGAGCCGCAGGGGAGCAAGAGGTCAGGATAATGATACGTTCCAAGATTTCCAAAAGTTTCCAGGATCGGGGGAAAACAAACCTACCTCGCTTTTGACCACCCTCGCTTCCAAGAGATACCAAACGATGCCAAATTGCGGCCTGTACTGGTCAGGCCGCTTGACGAGGAGGCGCGTGGTATGGCTTGGTTTTGCCTGGAAGCGAAAGCGGGGGAGGTAATTCACGCTCTAACAGGAGTCCCCAGCTTCCCACATCTTACACACGGGCTCCAGAAGTGAGGTCCGCCGGGTACCTTTTTCTGGAAGTCTTGGAGCGGATCGTGAGCCAATCCTACCATGACATCTCTCTCGTCCTAGAACCTCGGGGAACTGCTGGGAAACGTCCCTGGCCCCATGGCCATCACCCCGCTCCGGCGCCCCCACGGCCTCGGGAGGCCCGGGCCTGGAGCACCCTCCCCCAAGGCTGCGGTCGGCCGCCGGCAGCTATCGGAGGAGGAAAAGGCACCCATACCACCTCGTCGCTGGCCTCGCTTTCCCCTTCTTAGGCGCGCTCTTGGGCGAGGCCCTCATCGCCACGGCTGGATTCGCTTCGAAGCTCTGGTCAGAACGCACCCCAGGAGAGGTCCGGGGAGCAGTGGTATCCAGAATGTTTGGTCTCCAGAGACGACCGGGGTGTGGTTTGCGGTCGGCGCCGTTGAGGTTTAGAGGGCCACCACGTTGTGCCACAGAGGTTTGGTGAGCCCTCGTCGGGGCGCGGCAGAGATCTCTGTCGAGACCCTCGCCCGCCTCCCCCTCCGGCGCGGGTTGCGAACCACACCTTCCGGAGCCGCCGAGGCTGACCCCCCCACCCTCCACAAGCGGTCGGGGCCTGCAGGATGGTTGGCGGACATTGCGCCTCAGGGATCTTTAACCACCAAGCAACCATCGAGCGTCAAGGTGGGCAACCTCACGGCAAGGAAAAGTTGTCACTGAAAGATTGGCGCTTGTGGTGGTCCAAGTTCCAAGCGGTAATGCAGCACGCCTTGAAGGAAGACAGGGCCCGCACACCGCCAGCACCGCCAGCAACAGCAACCTCAGCAACAACGGTGCAGCCCTACGGTCCCATGTGAAGATCGCTCGTGGACCTTGCTGGGTCTTCCTGCAGCCGCTGCTATTTTTATGGACTGTCCCAGTCCGCCCGACGCCGCCGCCGTCCCCAGACCGTCGATGCGTGTGTTCGCGAAGCGGGCCCTGGAGCTCTCGACGCCATCCCTGGGACCTGCTCTTCGCCGCGGGGCGATGTTTTGTCTCTGGCCGCCGGGCCCAGGCGCACCCCCGTGGGGCGCCGAGGCCGCAGGAAAACGCCTGCCGCGCCTTCTTCGTGGTGCCGTGGAGCTTTTGGTCGGCCCGTTCGTCTCGCTGCCCCCCCGCCCCCCGGCAGGGGGCGGGGGGGGGAGCGAGACGAACGGCGCCGGGGGGGCCCCGGCGCCGTTCTGGCAAGGCTCCGGTTCAGCTGCTCCCTCCCGCCTTGCGACCGCGCGGCGCCGAGCCTCAGAGAGGAACGGGGGCGCCAGGATCCCTCGTCGTTTCCGAGGCCAGTGGGCCGTCATCACCCGCAGGCTCGTGGACCTATCTCTTGGTGGCTCTCGGGCCATAATCCATACCTCTGGCATCCAGCGGCCGTTCCGGACGAGCTTGGGCACCCCCAGATGGCTCTCGGCGAGGCGCAGCCGCTGGAAGGCACCCCCTGGCTGGAAAGCCGCCGAGAACCGACGACATCGCCCGAAAACCTTTGAATGTCCACCCGCCACCGCCGCTGGCATGAGACCGTGTTGCATCCCCTGGGCATCACGGGCGTGACCGGGGGGAGGGGGGGAGGGGGCTCGTGTCAGGCGATCGCAAACATGGATCAAGGGGCCGTGGATTAGCGACGGGTCCCGTTTCCATGAGAAATCGCGGATTTCCGCCGCCGAACGAGGCGGTACCGGCCGCATTTTGGGGAGGGCACCTCCCCCGATCCATGGATTTGGCGACCGCGCGCCAAATCCATGGATCGCTAATCCATGTTTGCGCACCTCCGATCGTGGCGTCACGATTCGCGCCAGCGCCGTCTGGGCATGCTCAGGGATAGCTGATTAGCAGACTGAGCTGGCGCGAATCGTGACGTGACCAGGGAGGGGGGGGAGGGGGAAGGGGGGAAGGGGGAGGGGGGCGGGGCCGGCCACTGGCGCTGTCGCGAATGAACGAAAGAGAAAGAAAGAAAGAAAGAAAGGAAAGGAAAGAAAAGGAAAGAAAAGACAGAAAAGGAAAGAAAAGAAAGGCAAGAAAAGGAAAGAAAGGAAAGAAAGGAAAGAAAAGGAAAGGAAAGAAAAGGACAGAACAGACAGGAGAAGAAGAACGCAAGAAGAAGCGAGCCCCGTGCACCCGCAGGCTCGTGGGCCAGTCCGGTACCCTCGCCGTACTCCAGCGCCACGGGCGGCCTGCTGAGCGGCCTCCTGGGCGGCGGGGGCGCCCCCGGAGGCGCCGCGGGGGCGTGGCCCGGAGCGTGGCCTGGACGGCCAGGCGCAGGAGGGACAAACGGGCACAGCACACAGAGGAGCCGTGGCGTCCATGAGAATCCTGGGGTGTATGACAAATTCTTGACGCTTCGCAGATCCCCACCAGCCCATCCAGACACGATCGGAGGCTTTCTGGAGGCCTCTTGGGGGCTATCGTGAGCCATGCTCGGCTAGAGGCTGTCGGAGGCCCTCCTGAGCCATGCTCAGCTATCTTGGACCGTCTTGTGACTGTCTTGAGGCCTCTTGGAGCTCAATCGGAGGCTAGCTGGAGCTATGGGTGTAGGGAGAGGAGGAGGGGGAGGAGGAAGAGGAGGAGGAGGAGGAAGAGAAGGAGGAGCATAATAAAGAGAAGGAGCAGGAGGGAGAAGAAGAGGAGGGCGAGGAGGAGGAGGAGGAGGAGGAGGCATGCGGCACGAGGAACAGGAGGAAGAGGAGGAGGAAGAGGAGGAGGAGGAGCAGGAGGGAGGAGGCAGGAAAGGAGGAGGGAAGGAACGGACGATAACAAGTAGGATGAGAAATCGGGCTTTGGAGATATGTTGTTCTGAGAGGTGCTTTAAAGACGACGAAGTCCATCTTAGGGGCCCTCTTGAGGCTCAGTTGGAGGCCTTGGTGCCCTCTTGAGGCTCCTTGGAAGGGTCTGGGAGGCCTATTGGGCCCAATGGCTCAAACAGGAGGGGGGAGGGGGCTAATTCAGCCCCCCCCCCCCCTCGGAGGCTCAAAAAGATGCTCTTAGGGGCGCCCTTGGGCGCTCTTGGGGCCCTCTTGGGCCCTCTTGGGGCCCTCTTGGGGCTCTCTTGGGCCGTATTGGGGCTCTCTTGGGCAGTCTTGGGGCCATCAGAAGCGAAAAGGCGAGAAGGCCAAGGCATTGAGGTTCCGTAGATTTGGGAAGAATGTTGACCTCATGGGGAGGTCCTTGGAGGACTCGAAGGGTACTTGAAACCGTCGCGGGGCCGTCTTAAGGCCTCTTGGATGTGTGTCGGAGGCGCTCTCGAACCATCGTCAGGTCTCTTGAGCCAGGCTCGGGCCGTCTTGGAGGCCATCGAAGGCTTTCTGAGGCCCTCCTGGAGCCATCTTGGGCCATCTCGGGCGCTCTAACTGCCGCGTTTCCCCCCCACACACACACACACACACACACACACACACACACACACACACACACACACACACACACACACACACACACACACACACACACACACACATTCACACACACACACACACACACACACATTCACACACACACACACATTCACACACACACACACAAGTAACACCCGAGCCTCAGCATGTTCAGCGGTCGTCTTTGGATGGGCAGCTACTGGGAACCAACACCGAACCCATGTGCGCGACGCTGGGGCAAGGTGCGCCACGTGTGCCAGGCGCGCCACGCGCGCCAGGCATCCCTGGGGCCCGAGCGGGCCAGTCACGCCTGGTGCGCCAGATGCGCCACGTGCTCCACGTGCGCCAAGTGCGCCGCAGACTCCAGCCGCGCCAGGTGCGCAACTTTCGGGGCACGTGCAGAGTGTGTCAGGTGCGCCTGCGCACGTGACAGCACACATCGGGAAACATGGCGGCTCCCACAATCCCTGTCGAACACCAATGCCTATCATGGTGACAGGTGGGCCTGCGCACAGCACGCCATACGCCACCCCACCCCCCGCCGTCCTTGCCAGGAACACTGGCACCCCCGCCGCCTCTCCTCCTCGCCCTGGCGGACACCCTCCTCTCGCCCTCTGCTCTGCCGTGTCTTCCTCCTCCTTCTACTTATCCCCCTCCTTCTTCTCCTCCTCCCCCTCCTCCCCCACCTCCTCATCATCGCCCTCCCCCTACCCCTTTTCCCCCTCCCCATCCTACTCCTACCTCTTTTCCATGTGCACCTCCCCTTCCCCCTGGTCGAGGCAAGCAAATCGATTTTCCTCGGCGCCGTAGCGGCCTCGGCCAGCACGCGCGCGTTCGCCGACGGCTGGATCACGAGGCCTTTGAGGCAACCCCGCCGGCCATGCCTTTGGGGCAACCCCGCGGGCCGCCGGGGCGCGTGCGCAGGCAGTCGGGACAACCCCGGCGGGCCAGGCCGTTGGGACAACCCCGCGAGCCTCGAGGTAGGCGCGGCCGCGCTCAGGCGGGGGACAGCGCGAAGCCCAGCCGTGCTGCGAGCTGCTCCGCCTCACCCCTGGAGGTCAGCGCTTTCTCGTCGAACTTCTTGAGCGCCGTTCGCAAGGACGCCGGCGGCCCGCGCTCCAGAAACTCGCGCGAGGGCGGCCACAGGATCAGCGCGTTCCGCATCCACGTGGCGCGGGAGAACATGACGGAGAGGTGCAGCTACCACTGCTCGTCCGACATGCCCGTGCGGCCAGCGTTTTCGTCCCTTGTGTAGTCGATGGCGCCGCACTTGCAGCTTGGCCCTGCGACAGCGTGGAGGTGAGGTAAGACGCGTGCGCCAGGGTGAACCCCGAGCGGCGCACGACGTTCGGCCCCGAGCTCTGCCACGTGAGCTCCTGCCCGCTGGGCCCGAATATGAGCAAGTTCCTCGCCCGCGCCTCGGCCTTGCCGTCGTCGTCGGCGCCTTCGGCGCCCTGTCGCGCCAGTTTGGCGACCTCCTGGTAGGTCGCAGACTCCTTGAAGCCATGCAGCTGCAGCCAGATTCCCTGCGGTAGGTAGCGGATGCGAAAGAACTGGCCAGACACGTGCTCCTCGTACTCCGACTGAGGCCCGAGGAACCCAAAATTGACGACAGTTACGGGATTCGCATGACCCCGGTCGGATTACCAACGCGAAGAGCGGGCCCCGTACGGAGGGGGTTCCCGCTTGAGATTCCCCCACAAATTTCTCACAGACGGGGATCCTGGTTGATACTTCCTCCACATTCAAGCTTCTTGCGCCCAAACGCGACGACAATTACAGGCTCCCGATGACCAGCTCAGATTAATAACGTGATTTGCAGGCCCCTTAATCCCGCTTGAGACTTCCTCACAATTCACTCGCGCACGAGGTTCCCGCTCGATACCTCCCCCATCCTCAGGCCTGAGGAGGCCAAAACTGAAGATATTATTGTTTTCGATGACCCGCTCGGATTATTAACATGATTTGCAGGCCCCATTGGGAGGGGGCTCCCGCATGAGATTTCCCCACGATTCACTCACAGACGACGCTCCTGCTTGATATTTTTTCAATATTCAGGCCTGAGGAGCCCGAAACTGACGACAGCCAGTTCGGATTAGTAACATGAGCTGCGGGACCCATAAGGAAGGGGCTCCCGCTTGAGATTTCCTCGGGATTCACTCACAGATGAGGTTCCCTTTCGAGACGTCCTCAACATGAACGCGTGCGCGTGAGTGATGACGATGGTGGTGGTGATGATGGTGACGACACTGATGGTGAGAACGGTTTCCGCATAATAGACGATGGTGATGACGATGGTAATTGGAAAAGGGTGATGGGAATGGCGATGGGGATGTAGGTGATGAGTGAATGAACATGATCGAATGGACGTGGCACAAAAAAGGGTGAGGGATTCCTGCGCGGGAAGGGTGCTGAGAAAACAAGAGCCCGACTTGAGATGTGGACAACAGTACAAAGTGCGCGTGGGCCTCACTAACATGATTCAAGAGTTTGCTCCAAAGTGTACGCTGTACTTCTTGCTGGAATGGATGGTGTGGGGGGGTCGCATCGGGTTGGTTACGCATGCTCGGAATTTGGAAGCAAAGTGGGGGGTGTGATCATTTGGTCGGACATGTTCCTGGTTGGTTGCCGGTCGCTCGGGGGAGGGGATGTATATGAATAGGGAGCAATGATAAACCCTTTCCCGAGCAGGGGAAGGAGGGCTGTCGCAGAGAAAAAAACACAAGTTCGTTAAACCACCTACGCCAGGAGGGCTGATTGGATTGAGGGGGAGAGGACAACCCAGGAACCATTCCCCAAACAGTGTTTGCACTTGCGGGGTCCTACTTCTCGTCTGAGGAACTGAGCCTGGCTGGCGGTCTGGCGGTTACGTTGTCGCCGTCGCCGTCCCGTTGCCGCTTAGTCGCCGCCCGTCGCCTGGGCCTGGTTGGGGATTTGGACGCGCTTGTTTTCGCCATTGCCGCCCGTCGCCGCCGTCCGTCGACGTTGCTTCTGGGCCTGGCTGGCGGTCACCGTTGCTTCTGGGTGTGGCTGGCGGTCGCCGCGCTTGTTGTCGCCGTCGCCACCCGTCGCAGCTGCCGCATAATTTTCACCACATAGATAGCACTGGATATATTGCACCAGTTAGAGCGCACTCGCACTGCATATATTCTCTTCATTAAAAGGAAAGTAAGATCCACCGCCTACCCCGCTCTATCGACACCCCCTGGGACAATTCAATTTACATGCGGTTGCGCCCCATCGCTCATGTCAAATATGAGCTCATACCAGCCCAGCAGCCCAGCCAGTCCTTTCAATCGACTCCCATCATCCCTGTCAACTAACAGTATGCGCGCACACTCTCACTTCAAAAGTCATCAGTTTTCAACCGTGCCGTGCAACAAGCTGGACAAAGTCGACACGTGCTCGTCATCGCGTGCATGCCGAAATTGATCGAAGCCAGTCGGTTTCGCATAACGCTAAAGATCGAGGCACCCGAACATACAAAACAACGATGTCGCTAACAACCTTTTTCAAAACAACAAATGCGCGCGCTCGTGCGACTTGTTATGACAACAAGTGGCGTTTCTACAGATCCATCAAATTCGACCCAGCGGACCTCTCGCACGCGCATTTCGAAGTCATTCGAACGCCCTTGCGCGCTTGCTGGGGGGGCGCGACCCGTGTCAAATCATACCATCCGGGCCACTCGCGCGCGTCGGCCGCGCACCCATGTCGAAATCCTTCCAAAACCTATATCACCGACACCAACATCGTCCGCGTGACCAGCATCGGTGCCGTCATTGGCCTCGCCGTCGTCACCGTCATCATCGTCACCATCATCGCTGCTAGCATTATCCCGCCTGCCTCTGTCAACGCCATCGTGTCTGCCTCTGTCGACGTCGCCATGATACCGCGCCCGCCCGAGTCACCGACTCGCACTGAAGTGCCCACGCGTCAGCGCAGCTTGCGAGACGCGCTGAGAAGTCGCCAGCAGTCAGCGCCACCGTGGCCGCGTCGGTCGCGCCAAACAAGCCGGCCGCTCCGCACGAGAGCTTGCGCGCGCCAGTGCGGCCGCAGCGATGCGCCATCCAGCCCGAAGCACCCGTTGCAATCGCCGCCGCGTTTTGCAAACCAAGTTGCGGGCGGGCGGGCCGGATGATCGAGCAGCGGGGCTGACATCTGTAAGTTCTGCATGGCGACTCGGACAACACATATATGATATATGTGCACATCGCATTGTATATATTCTCAGGTGTAAAACAGAAGTAACTTGGCAAAGGACCCAACCATATGCGATTGTGAGTAATTACCGCAATTGTGAATATCTTCTTCGGTGGAGCTGCCTATGGGGCCACGAAGCGCTGCGCTGGGCGGGGGGAACGCATGCGGGCAGTAGCACTAGGGCCTTCGCTGGAGCTTCCGATGAGGATACTCAGAGCCCCGAATCATCAGGGGTAACTCGGGTCAGGGCTAACTCGGGTTCGTTTTTCGGGATTCCGAACCCGATTTATCCCGGACCCGAGCTACCCCGGATAATTCGGGCGTCCAGAGCACCAAAATCATCAGGGGTAACTCGGGTCAGGGCTAACTCGGGTTCCTTTTTCGGGAATCCAAACCCGAGTTACCCCGGACCCGAGTTACCCCGGGTAACTCGGGCGCCCAAGATACAAAACGTTGTACTGGATGGGGGGCACGCATGCGGGTGCCCCCACTGGGGCCTTCGTATTGGAGCTCCCAATGGGGCCACGAAGCGCTGTACTGGGTGTGGCGGACGCATGCGGGCACCCCCACTGTTCCGGTGGAGTTCCTTATGGAGCCACGAAACGCTGTATTGGGTGGGGGGGACGCATGCGGGCACCCCCACTGGGGCCTTCGGTGGAGCTCCTTATGGGGCCACGAAGCGTTGTACTGGGTGCGGGGAGCGCATGCGAGCACCCCCATTGGGACATTCGGTGGAGCCCCCTGTGGGGCCACGAAGCGCTGTACTGGGTGCGGGGGACGCATGCGTGCACCCCCACTGGGGCCTTCGATGGAGTTCCCTGTGGGGCCACGAAACGTGTGAGGGGTGTGCCAAAGTGACGGAAGGAGGGAGGAGGCGGGGAGGAGGAGGAGAGGAGGAACGCGGGGACCGTCTCTTCAAAACGAGGACCCAACACCACAGGATGGTTGGGAATAATTAGACTCTACCCGCCCATTCCCGGGATCATCAACCACCCTTTGCGCATTGCAATTTACATCTAATTCTGCCCCATCGTCCATCTTGAATATGAATTCATACCATCCCAACCGAGCCGGTATCCCCCCCCCCGCCATCGTTTGCCAAAAACACTTTGCGCGCGCACGCGCTTATCAAAAATCACAAGTTACCAGAAATCCATTTCAAAAAATGTGACGGAAGTGCACAGGCGCGCGTCGTCGCGCGCGCATTCCGAAATCTCCCAAGAACTTCCGGATTCCAGAATCGAGTTTCAAAAAATTGCGCGCGCGTTTTTGCGCGTTCTTGCGAACATTTAAAAAACGAACCATCGGTTTTTCAAGATGTTCAGAACATTCGACCAAACGGGCTTCGCGCTCGCGCATGCCGAAATCGTTCGAACGACTTTGCGCGCGTACCGTCGTGAGAATCCTTTGCAAAGAACGGGACGAAGTGCACGCGCGCGCGCGTCGTTGCGCGCGCATGCCGAAAACAACCTATGGCTTCGTCGATGTCAAAGCCGAGTGTCAAAAGCACACTGGTTCGCAACATCAGTTTTCAAGCAAGCGCGCGCTCGCGCTCTTGCGAATTCTTGAGAAAACCATCGGTTGTTCAATATGTTCATGGGATTCTTCCAAAAGGGCCTCCCGCGCCGCATGCCGACATCATTCGCACAATCTTGCGCGAGTGCTGGGAGGGGCACGACCCGTGTCAAATTATACCGTGTGGGTCACTCGCGCGTCGGATGGCCGGGGCCGCCCAGCTTGTACACGTGGGTCATTCCCAGGCCGCGCGCGCACCGAACTCTTTCTACCAAGCCTTCACCACCGGCACGTGGACACCATCATCGTCAGCGGCGCGATCAGCATAGGGGCCGTAATTCGCCTTGCCGTCGTCATCGTCACCACTGTCACCAGCATCGCTACTATCATCGTCGTGTCTGCCTTTGTCGGCGTCGCAACGATAGCGCGCCCTCCCGGGTCACCGACTCGCATTGAAGTGCCCGCGCGTCAGCGCGGCTTGCGAAACGCGCTGGGAAGTGCCCAGCGGTCAGCGCCACCGCGGCCGCGTCGGCCGCACCAGACCAGCTGGCCGCTGCGCGCGCGGTCCTGCTCGCGCTAGCGCGGCCGCAGCGATGCGCCAGCCAGTGCCAAGCAGTCATCGCAATCGCCGCCGCATGGATGAGTTTTGCAAACCAGGTTTCGAGTGGGTGGGTAAGGTGATGGCGTGAGCACTGGATTTGACAACTTGGCCATCCCGTCTGGATTGCCACGCGTCGGTTGCATTGCTCAGCACGACAGAACACACTGTCTGGAGCCCCTGCGGGCGAACATGGAGACACGACCTCAAGACTATGTCGATTGTTCTGTGTGTCTCCCTGGGCCCCTCCACAGGCGCCCCCGCGGGGGCGCACCTCGGCGGAGCTGGGCACGGGCACGCGGGCGCGGCGGCGCTGCCGTCGGAGGCGCCGCGGGCTCCCGCCGCCGCCTGTGGCCGCACGTCGCCGTGCGTCGTCGAAGTCGCTGTCGGCCACGGCCGCCCGGGGCGCCACGGCGCCGCCGAGGGCCACGGCGGCGACCGACGGCCCATGACGGCCGACGACGACCGACTGCGACCATCGACGGCGACGGCGGCGGCGGGGGCGCTGCCATAACTATGTCGGTCGTCGCCGGCCGTCGTCCCCGTGCTCTCCCTCGTCCGCCGCCTCTCCGTCCTCCTCGTCGTAGTCCCTGTCCTCTCTCCTCCCCCTCTTGTGTCGCGGGTGGCGCGAAGCTGAACCTCCTACCCTGTTCTTCTCCTCCTCCTCCGCCTCCTCCTCCTCACCCCAGGAGGTGGTAGAAAAAAGAGCAGCAGCAGCATTAAAGGGGGCCAGGAAGAGCGCGGCAAGGACGAGGACGACGACGACAAATATGATGACGGACTACGGGCGACGACACCAACAACGGACGACGACGACAGTAAAAGACGACGACGATGACGACGACGACGGAAGCGGCTGCGACGAACACGATGATGACAGACGACCGACCACGACCGACGACGACGATGACGCCGACGACCGACGACGACCGACAACGGACGACGACGACGACGACAACGACGACGACGCTCATCCCCTGGGGGCGCGCCATCCCCCCCGCGGCGTCGGGCCGGGAGAGAGCCGCCCCCGCGGGATTGCGAGGCGGACACGCTCGAGACGTACGCCTCCTTCGGGCTCGAGCTGCAGAAGTGGGCCCCGGCGCTGGCAGCGGTCGCCGCCGTCGCGTCGTCGTCGTCTCCGATGTCGTCATCGTCGTCGTCTCCGATGTCATCGTCGTCGTCGTCGCCGCCGCCGCCGCCGCCGTCGTCGTCATCGTCGTCTTCGTCGTCGTCGTCGTTCGTCGTCGTTGTCGTCGTCGTCGGCAGCGTCTGCTGCAGCGTCGGCGTCGTCGTCGTTGGCGTTGTCGTCATCGTCGGCGGCGTCGTCGTCGTCGGCGTCTTCGTCGGCGAACACCGTTTTCAACGGTTTTCGGCGGGCCCAGGGCCTTGCAGGTCCACGACGCCTCGGCGGGGCGCTGCTGGGGACACTGGTCGGGACGGCGCCCTGGGACTGGCTGTGAGCGACATTGGATGCGGGGGCCCAGGCCCCCCGGCGTCGCCCCGTCTCGGACCTTTGGACCCCGACGCAAGAGCGTGCGTGAACACGGGGTCGACCGCTCTGGTTGTACAGTCAGCACTGAGAGTAAGGATATGCGACTTCCCGAGGGTACCCTCGCATCCTTGCCTCTTCGGTCCTCTTCGGTCCGTCCTCAGCCACGTTCGATGGCCGGCCCGGCTCAAAGAGCCTCGGCATGGCCTTCCAGGGCCCTTGCATCCTTATCGCGCATCCTTATAACCTGTTCTGGTTACACTCTGTTCTCACGGCGTCGTTGCCCAGCTCGCGACGCAGGACGCCTGGGCGTCAGCGGCGTCGTCGTCGTGGCATGCCAGCTTCGGCGATTTCCTAGGCCCCTGGGTCCTGCAGGCTCTCGACGCCTCGCCAGGGCGCGGCTCGGGAGATTGGTGGAGGCGGCGTCCCGGAGGGGCCCCTGGGCTGGTCGTGAACGAACCTGGATATGAGGGGTGGGAGGCCATGGGCCCCCATGGCGTCGTGAGGCAAGCCACGACGAGTCCCGTCGCCCCGTTTCGGGCCCCGGGACCCCGACGCAAAATCGTGCGTGAAGACGGGGTCAAGGGTTCTGGCTCTACTTCGGCGGCCAGCCCGCGGAGGAAGTGAGAAGGGGCGGGCCTCCACAGAAGGCTCGGAAGGCCTCGGGCCTTCTGAGAAGTTATCTGCACCTTCCTCGAAGACACAGAAAGCTTACTTCGCAGACAGGCGCAGGGCTTCGAGAAGCCCCGCCGCCTTCGAAGAAGGCCTTCTCCTTCTCACTTCCTCCTGGGCGCGCCGCCGGATCTGCTTTTGGGGTCATAACTCGGGTCTCCCAGGGCCGTTCGGGACGATCCCGGCACCCCTGGAACGCCCTCGGCGAGGCGCAGCTGCTGGCAAGCATCCCGAGGTTGCAAGGCCGCCGAGCACCGACGAAAGCGTCCGAGAACCTAGAAGCCTGGAGCCTCGCGAGCAATCTTCTCTCACGGCGGCGTTGCCCGGCGCGCGACGCTGGACGCCCGGGCACAGGCCTTGCCGAGCTGGACCCGGGCTCTCCTGGCCGAGGCCGGGAGAGCCCGTGCGCCAGGCCAGGGCCCAGAGGGGGCTCGGCAGAGGCTTGTGGTTCGGCAGCAAGGCATCGGAGCTTGGCGCATCCTGTTGCCCATCGGTCGTTGAAATAGGGTATTTTTGGACTCCCAGTTCCCAATCTGCTTTAGCCGTCTTCCTACTTCAAGAGTCGGTTGGTTTTCCCTTCTTCCCTCCTCTCTGGCGGGCGGGCGGGCGGGCACTCAATCTATTTTCAACGCCTTCCTACTTTATGTTTCGACCTACTTCTTCCGACCGATGGGTAATTCGTTTTTCTGGGCCTCCCAGGTGGGGTCGGAGTAGATGGGGGCGGAGGATCGCGCCGCATCATCGGCGATGCATCGCCGACGCATCGCCGATGAGGCGCGATGCGGGGCCCCATTTTCTCCACGCCGACGTCGCCGATGCAGCGCTGGCGTCGCCGATGTATCACCGATGCATCGCCGATGCATCGCCGATGCATCGTTGATGCACCGTTGGTGCATCGGCGATGCGGCACGATCCTCCGACCCCATCTACTCTGACCCCATCTGGGAGGCATCTAGTCTATAGCGTCGACAAGCGTCGATTAGCGTCTGGGAGTCGATGAGATAGCGCCGATTTAGCGTCGGCTAGCGTCGATTAGCGTCGATTCAGCGTCGATTTGCGTCGGCCCGCGTCGATGAGCGTCGATTCGCAAGAGCGGATAAGATGGTATGGGAGGCTCCCATGAGTTGCCACCGAACTGCGGTGCTGAGCACCCCCCACAGGCACGTCGACTGAGGAAATCTGCACCTCTGGGCCTCCCAGATGGGGTCGGAGCAGATGGGGTCGGAGGATCGCGCGCGCCGCCGATACGTCGGCAATGCGGCTCGATGTTGAGCCTGCTTTTCTCGACGCCGATTACGCCGATGCATCGCCGACGACGCCGAAGCATCGCCGATGCATCGCCAATGCATCGCCGATGCATCGGCGATGCGGCGCCCCATCTACTCGGAGGCCATCTAAGAGCCCTCTAGACTCTAGACGCGCCGACTGAGGAAATCCGCACGGGGTCACTCGACTTTAGCATCGGAGGGAACCCAGTGCCGTCCCCCGTCGGTTCTTCTGATCGGCGTGCGCCTTGCCAGGTAGCACTCGGTAGCTTTCGGACTTCGAGAAGCTGCTCCGCCTAGGTCCACACGGAATGCGGTGCCGTGGGCCCGTGGAGCGCCCTTGGCGATTTTCATTGAAGGGCGCTCTGCTGAAAGGGGGTTCTGTCCGCCCCCCGATGGTGGGGGTTCCAAGGTCGTCGACCGAGACATCGTCGAGCCGCTGGCGCGGATGCTGGAGGAGAGCGACCGCCTCTGGCAGCAGAGCCTGCTGCCCCTTGGCATGAGGCTTCAAGAGACCAGCGCTGCGCCCACCGATCCAACGCCCCCTCCCCGCCAGGCCTCCAGGCCTCCAGCGTCGCGGTTGTCGTTGGCAGTCATGCAAAAGCTGGCTGTTCGATGAATCCATTCAGGCACTCAACGCCTCCTCCCCGCCAGGCCACGAGGCCTCCAGCGCTGCGATGGCCTCTTTGCGCGACGCGCCCCCAGAGTCTTCGGCCCCGTCCCCAGGACCGGTCCTCCGCCGCGGGTCGTGCTCTTGATCCTCCCAGGGGCAGCCGACGGCCCCCAGACGCCGGAATCGTGGATGGGAAAAAGACACGCGTCGGCGCTTCGCGACGGAGGCCTACGGTCAGGAACGCTGGCTCAGCGTGTCGCTCCGCTGGTTCTTTTCCCAGCACGCTTCGGCCTCGACACGCCATCCGCTTCCCGCCGAGCGGAGCGGAACGCGCCGCGCGGAGCGGAACGACACGCTGGCCCGCCCGCAGGGCAGAGAGTGTGTCTGGGGGCCGCCGCTGCCGCGACACGCTGAGCAAGAGCCTCGCGCGAGGGACGGCGGGGAGGGGGACGGATCGCACGGCGGGTTGCAGCGAGGGGGTCCCGTGAGGCTGAGCTTCGAGGCGCCCGTGGCAGGGCAGAGGCCCTCCAGCCAGGAGCTCAGCGTATTCGACAGGAACCTGCCGCCCCTGCTCGCCAGGGACCAGGGCGCGGTTGGCAGGGGGGGAAGCCGCGGCAGAAGCTGAACGATACCATCGAAGACCCGAAAACGGCATGAACATATTCTTCCGAACATCCGCACGGTTTCTCGGTTCGGCGCCGGGCCACCCCAGGCGGCGCCTCCTGCGGCGCCCCTGGCGCGCTCCAAGCGCCAGGGAGGGGGTCCGTCGCCGAACAAACAGGTTCGCGCGGCCCTCCGAAAGCACATGTTTGTGCCGAGCTCTGTTCCCCTGAGCCAGCAGGGCAGATCTGTAGATCTGGGTCGGGGGGCTGCAGACCTGGGCTGTAGATCTGTAGATCTGGGTCGGGGGGCTGTAGACCTGGCCCGGCACAGAAACGGAAAGAGCACTTCAGAAACAGAAACCGAAATTACTCACATCACCGTTCGTACTGGGAGCCTTGGCGTTGAGAGCTTGTTACGTCACCCCTTGCTCTTGGGAGCCTTGGTGTTCAGAGATTGTTGCGTTGCCGCCCGTTCCTGAGCCTTGGCTGGGCCTTGGTGTCAGGAACTTGTTACGTCACCGCTCTCTGCTGGGAGCCTTGGTCTTATCAGCTTGTTTACGTCACCGTTCGCTCTTGGGAGCCTTGGTGTGAAGAGCTTTTTGCGTTACCGATCGCTCTCTATTTGGCGTCTCTGGGCCTTCTTGGGAGTCCTATGGGGGCCCTTGTCGGGCCCTGTTGGAGGCCTCTTGGGACGCCTTTTGGGGGCCTCTTGGGGCTTCTTAGGGGGCTCTGGGGGCCTCCTGGGAGCGTCTTGGGGCGAAAGGCTAGACTTTTCGGTTCGTGGTCCCCCTCTTGGGGCCGTCTTGGGGCTCTCTTGGGCCGTCTTGGGCGCCTCTTGGGCCGTCTTGGGGCCCTCTTGGGCCGTTTTGGGGGCCTCTTGGGAGCCTCTTGGGCCGTCTTGGGGCGGTCTTGGGGGCCTCTTGGGCCGTCGTCAACGCCGTGAAAGCCGACAAAGCGCATATGCTAAAATATAAGTTTCCTTTGGAAAATCTATGATTTCGGCCTCTTGGGGCCCTCTTGGGACGCCCCTTGGGCGCCTCTTGGGGGCCTCTTGGGGGCCTCTTGGGCCGTCTTGGGCGGTCTTGGGCTCTCTTGGAGCGCTCTTGGGCCGTCTTGGGGGGGAACCCGAAAAACATGCAAAAACCCGCGGGAAAACCCGAAAACGGCCATTAACACGCAAATGCGCACGCTACCCCCCTCCTCTGGAACCCCTCCCTTTAGGGCTTCGCCCACACCAGAACGTCATCACTCGTACCTCGCTCTTTCCGTTACCTGGGCTGTAGATCTGAGTAGGGATGCGCACGACGTGGCTGCAGATCTGGATCGGGGGGCCCGGTCATGGCCCGGGCTCGCCGTGGCCCGAAGAGCCCCCCCCCGTTCCTTCTCTTGCGTGCTTTCCCGCGGCGCGCCCAGGGGGGGGGTGAGAAGGGGCGGGCCCTCTGAGAAAGCTCGGAAGTCCCCCGGCCTCCCGAGAAGGTCTCGGAGCCTTCCCCGAGGACGCCGAACATGTCTCAGGTGGCGCGAGGGCTTCCGAGAAGTCCCGCCACCTTCTGAGGAGACCTTCTCATGCTCATTTCCCCCCCTCGCTCGTCGCCGGTCCTTGTGGCATCACGCTCGGATTGGCCCGCGAGGGCTCGCATGTTGAGCCTCCAGCTCAACCCTGGCGGTTGCCTGCAGCACAAACTGTGACAGCGAGGGCCTGAAGCCAGGAAGGTGTGGTGTTGGCACAGGTGGCGACAGAGGCTGTTGAGCCTCCAGCTCAACCCTGGCGGGTACCTGTAGTACAGACGCACGTTGGGTAACACGTGACTAGGCGCGTCGAAAGGTTGAGGAAGTGGAGGTGGAGGTGTGTCGATTACGCGCAGCAATTCAGTAAGCGGGAAAGCGGTGGCAGTGAGCGGTGGCGTTCCCTAGTCACGCTCGCCGAGTCGCATGGCACAAGGGCTTCTCCCTCTGCTCGTAGGAATCCCCCACAAACGTCCCCGAGGCCAAAGTCGGGATCCCTCGCCTGCAAGCTTGCGTAGGGTTCCCAGCACTTTGACCTCGGGGCCGCCTCGGGGTTTTCCCCCGAGCGCGAGGGAGGTTCGGGCCATCCTGGCGTCGGCGGGCGCCACTCGCCGTGGGCAGTGGGCCAGCCAGACTCGCCAAGTGGGAAGGCAGAAGGGCCTCTCCCGCAGCACACAGGAGATCCCCCGAAGTGGCCCCCAGCGCCACGACTGGTTACCCCCCCACCCCCCCTCTGCAAAGCAGGAGTGGGGTGCCCAGATCGTGGAGGTGGGGGCCACCTGGGGTATTTCCACCGTGCTTGGGGGAGGTTTCTGCCTTCGTGGCGGCGGTACGGTGACGGTTGGTGCTGCTGATGACGTCGTCGCCGTGTGCTGAGATATTATTCAATCGCTTCGCTCATTCCGCCGGCCCATGTTGCCCTGCCGCTTGACGGCCGTGTTGGGGCCTCTTGGGGGCCTCTGGTAGCTAGTTGTGGATCCTCTTGGGGGCCTGGTTGGGGCCTCTTGAGGCTTCTTGGGGTGCCTCCTGGGGGCCCCTTGGGGCCTCTTGGGGGCCTCTTGGGGCCTCCTGGGAGCATCGTGGGGCTGAAGGCTGGACTTTTCGGTTTCTTGTCCCCGTCTTGGGCCTCTTTTGGGGCCGTTTTGGGGCCCTCTTGGGCCATCTTGGGCGCCTCTTGGGCTGGTCTGGGGCCATCTTGGGCCGTCTTGGGGCCCTATTGGAGGTTTCTTGGGCCGTCTTGGGGCGGTCTTGGGGGCCTCTTGGGCCGTCTTGGAGCGTTGGAAAGCCGAAAGACGAGAACAGTCGCACATGCGAAAAATGTATGGTTTCCGAAGGGAATGGGGCGATGCTTGCTTGTTGGGGCCCTCGTGGAGAGCCTCTCGAGGCTCTCTTGAGGCCTCTTGAAGCGTCTTGGCGGTCTCTTGGGCAGTCGTGGGGCCATCTTGGGCATCGTCGGCCGACCTTTCGAGGACTCCAAGGGCTCTTGGACTGTCTGGGCGCTCTCTTGAGGCCGTCTTGGGCGCCTCTTGGGCCGTCTGGGGGGCCTCCAGCATATCTAACAGGCATTTGCTGGGGCCTTGCTGGGGACTTGCCCGGACTTTGGCGGGGTACTTGTCGCGTCGGGTCCCCAGGGACCGCCTCGCGCGCGCGAACTTGTTATATGGTTGACTTGTTACCGGAGATCTTAGCACGCCTCTGGCCCGTTGGACCAGCAAACTTCAGCAGACACGTCGGGTGACCTAGCATAGCTTGTGGGTGAGACTGCCCCCGAGTACTCACTGCATAGCATAGCTGCTGTTGAAGTTGTCGTCATGTGCTGAAACCTGTGGGAGTCCCTTTGCCGCTGCCGTCGGAGAGGTGAGTCTAGGTTTGACGACCAGCTGTGATGGTGCCGATCCTGTCGATGAGTGCGCACATTTGGGTCAAAGAATAATGCACATATTGGGTGTAGGAATATAGCAGCTTGTGCGACGTCTCCTGTCTGTCGTTATGCGAAAATTGAAAAAACTGAGCATGATGGGTGAGGAGGTAGGTGCACTGACGGGCCGCTATAGGGCTGGTCCTACCGAGAGGCTTGAGCCTCGTGGTTGTGGGCAATCGGGGGGGGTCTCCTGATTTGCCGTGGGTTGGTCGGGCTGGTGGTCCTTGAGGTACACTGCTTGTATTCAACCTCAAACGGTGGCCATGGCACTGAGCCACCAGCTGCTGTGGTCCCTTCGACTTTGCCGTCGTCGTGGGCCTGGTTGCAATGGTACCGCTCGCTTGATGGTCTGGTTAGAATCGCGTCGGGGTTCGGTTGCTGGCTGTTGCTTGGGAGCGTGGCTGCACCCTGGTCTTTCTCCCCCCGTGGGCTTCTCAGTCGTCTTAATTTGGCTGCTAGAGTCGGTCGTGGCCCATTGTGCCCCTGGCAGTGGGTCCGTTCGCTGAAGCATGCCGGTCTCGGTTGCTGCGTTTGCCGTTGCTTGTTAAGTACGGCGCTGTTGCTGCCACGTTGCGGGTTCTGCTAACGCTGGCGGCGTCATGGGCCGTCTGGGGGCCATCTTTGGCTTCTTGGGGCGATCTTGCGGGTCGGCAAGCTAGGAAGTTCAATTCGAGTTCCCCCGATGGGGCCCCTTCTTAGGGCTGTCTTGGGCTGTCCAGGGGGCCTCGTGGGACGTCTTGGGGTCCTCTTGGGCCGTGTTGGGCCCATCTTGGGAGTCTGTTGGGCCGTCATTGGACGATCTTGAAGGTCTCTTGGGCAGTGTTGGACGCGCTGGACCTCGAAACGTCTTACATGGGTAAACTGTAGGTTGAAGGGAACGGGACACTTCTTGCATGTCGAGGCTCCCTAGGGGAGCCTCTGGTGGCTCTCTTTGGGCTTCTTGGCGGCGTCTTGAGCCGTCTGGTGGCCATCGTGGGCGTCTTGGGACGATCTTGCGGGTCGGCAAGCTAGGAAGTTCAATTCGAGTTCCCCCGATGGGGGTCCTCTTAGGGCTGTCTTGGGCTGTCCAGGGGGCCTCGTGGGCCGTCTTGGGGCCCTCTTGGGCAGTGTTGGGCCCATCTTGGGAGTCTGTTGGGCCGTCTTGGGGCGATCTTGAAGGTCTTGGGCAGTGTTTGACGCGCTGGACCTCGAAACGACGCATTTGGGCAGAATGTACGTTTTCTGAAGGGTATGAGACATTATTTGCTTGTTGAGGCTCTCTCGGAGAGCCTCTTGAGGCTCTCTTGAGGCTCTCTTGGCGGCGTATTGGGCCATCTGGCGGCCATCTTGGGCGTCGTGGGCGATCCTGCGGGTCGGCGAGCTAGAAAGTTCAATTCGTGTTCCTCCGATGGGGGTCCTCTTAGGGCTGTCTTGGGCTGTCCAGGGGGCCTCGTGGGCCGTCTTGGGGCCCTCTTGGGCAGTGTTGGGCCCATCTTGGGAGTCTGTTGGGCCGTCTTGGGGCGATCTTGAAGGTCTCTTGGCCAGGGTTGGACGCGCTGGACCTCGACACGTCGCTGATGCGCT